GAAATTGTTTGCTTGAACTTGACTTTCCTTGGAGATGATGAATGTCGCCATTCCATGGATTGTTGCTTTGATTCCGGTGTAACGTAGGCTACCCACGTTTCATCGCCTGTAACAATACGACTTAAAAAATCATCTCCTTCGTCACTGTAGCGCTCAAGAAAAGTCAATGCACTGGCCAAACGTTTGGTTTTGTGCTCCTCCGTCAACATTTTCGGCACCCAACGGGAACACAACTTCCGATAATTTAATCGTCCGGTCACAATTTCATAGAGAACACTTCTTGAAACTGCAGGAAACTCTTTAGATAAAGATGAAATCGTGAATCGTCTGTTCTCTTTCACTCTACAGTCCACTTTTTCAATCAAATCGTCGATAATGACTGAAGGTCGCCCACTTCGTTCCTCATCGTGAATGTTTGTGCGGCCATTACTAAAGGCCCTAACCCATTTTCGTACCATTCCTTCACTCATAACGCTTTCACCATAAACTTCACTGATTTGGCGATGAATTTCAGCCACTTTCGAGCCTTTAGCACTGAAAAAATGAATAACGGCACGCACTTCGCAGTCGGCGGGATTCTCAATGAGCGGCGGCATTTCAATAACACACAAACAACAGTAAACACAATCAACTGGCTCCGTAATGGCGTTTGTGGCTTCCCAACAGATGTAGGTACACAGCGCGCATGCGCTAAGTGCCGACTGCAGCGCTCAAGCGGCGTTATATTAAAACGGTATTTACTTTAAAAACACGCCTCGTATATCAAAATTCAAGAAATGTCTAAACATCTTTAAATGATTCTATATAAAACATGTAATAAATTTATATACTAAATATCTTGGTACACTTAAAATTACATTACTAACCATGACCATTCTTTCAGTAAGATTCATTCTCATTGAAAAATACATAACTCTAAAAAACATCCAAAGAATGAATTATATACTTTTATATATTCCAAAATATAGTATTTCTATTTGAGATACATTGCAATCTTTTTTCTAACAAATATTCAATATGAAGATATAATATACACTGAAGGAATATGAAATCCCAACACCAAGAAAAAATTAGTTTAGAGGAATGAAATTCAGGCAAAGCATTTGTCTAGGTAAAATATTTACTTGTTTGAATTTTTAAGGTCACAGGCTAAAGTATGTGTGAGAAGATCCATTTCAAATGTGAAATAATGGTACATTAATAACCGCTGCAGTCACCACGATTTTGAATGCAAGCATGCAAATATGTATGCATTGTGTCGTACAGGTGCCATATGTCATTTTGTGGGATGGAGTTCCATGCCTGCTGCACTTGGCAGTCAAATTAGCAACAGTTAATGTTGGTTGTGGATAATGCTGAATTTGTTGTCCAATAATGTCCCATATGTGCTCAATGGGAGAAAGATCTGGTGATCTCACAGGCCAAGGCAACATGTCAACACTTTGTAGAGCACGTTGGGTAACAGCAGCAGTATGAGGACGATTATCATCCTGTTGGAAAAGCTCCTTGGATATTGCTCACAGATGGCAGTACAACTAGTTCAATCACCAGTCTGACGTACTGATTTGCTGTCAATGTGCTTGGTATAATGATGAGAGTGATCCTGTTGTCATAGGAAATCACCCCCCCCAGACCATAACTCCTGGTGTAGGTCTAGTGTGTCTATGCCACAGACAGCTTGGTTTCAAGTGCTCACCTGGCCTCCTTTAACCAACATACTGCCATCACTGGCACCAAGACAGAAACAGCTCTCATCTGAGAACACAACAGATCTTTCTCCACCCTCCAATGAGCTCTTGCTTGACACCACTGAAGTCGCAGATGGCAGTGATTTGGAGTTAGTGGAATGAACACCACAGGGCATCTGGCTCGGAGTTGTCCCTCAAGTAATCAATTTGTTACAGTTTGCTGGGTCACTCTGGCACTAACAGAAGCTCTAATTTCTGATGCAGATGCAGTACAATATGCCACAGCCATATGCCGAATATGGCGGTCTTCCCTCTCAGTAATGGCCCGTGTGTGGCCGGACCCAGGTCTTCTTGAGACAGCACCTTCCTGTGACCACAGCTGCCAACAATCATGCACAGTAGATACATCCTTGCCAAATCTTTCTGCAACAGTGCGGAAAGAATAATCCACCTTCTCGTAGCCGTATTACACGGCCTTGTTTAAACTCAGTAAGCTGCTGATACTGCCTTCTTCGTCTCCTTAAAGGCATTCTTGACTCAAACCTTAACTCACAACATTCAATCTGAACAATAAATAATGCTCAACAAGTTTACATCCAGTATTTACAGCAAACGTGATTTGCATGTTCATAGTGGCACTACTCGTGCCACTCTTATTCATCTAGCACGAAATTTGAATAGACATCATCTTTCAGATATGAAAACACACCTACCAAGTTTTGTTTATCGAGCACAACTCTTTCTTGGTTTTGGGATTTCATTTTCCACCAATGTATATAAATTCCTATAATAATATTTCAATATAAACTTAATAATATTAAATGAATATTTACACTGAAAGATGTATTGTAGAATATAAATATATGATTTATAAAACTTAAAAATCTGCTATTTTTTGAACTTATTTCTTTCATCAAGAAGCCATACATTTGTTTATTTGTTGGGCGAGTGTGGCTGTTTGACAAAAGGAGGTTTAAAAAGCAGCAGATAAAAAAGAAAAGTGAGTGAAAAAAAAAACTTAAAAAAATATTAAAAATCTGCTTTATCAATTTTAAAGATTGAAGTTTAATTCATTATTTATATTATCTACATTTCAATACAAAAACAACAGTTGTATAAATGTAAAAAATATGAATTCAAAACAGTGAAATGATCAATCCTCATAACAATAAAAATTCTATTGTCATCAATTAATTCCTATTTAATTTGTTTTCATTTTAATTTAATCATCATACTGTTATTGCTTTTTAAATTTCACAAATAAAATATTTTAATGATTTCTTTTCACAAAACTCAATAAATTTGCACAGTAAAGTAAAACTTAAATATCATTACAAAATTTAAAAAATGTTCTATTATAGTATATTCTTAAGTAAAAAGTTGATACTTTCAATATTAGTTATGTTAAATAAATTCAAAGTATAGAAACCGATATGTAGTTTAAAACTGTTAATAGTAAATCAAATGCATTTTCCTTCTAAAAAAAAAAAACAAAAAGTAACAAATATATATTCAACTATGTCCAAAAAGTATTTTCATGAGCTTAATGACATTTTTAAATTATATGAATTTTTTGGAATAACTTAAAGAGAGTTTTCTTTTGTTGTCAACACTTAAATTATTACTACTTCCTAAACCAGTGTACATTAAGTTTAAATATTTTAACTATTTTAAAATGCTTTGTTCTATTCTGTTATGTTTTTCAACATAACTTTAGTGATGACATAATTAAATTCAACAAAAGCATTGATGGACAAAGAAAATTTAAATGCAATAAAATTTGTATAAAACAGAATTGCATAGTACCAAATTTTCTTTTCTATTTTGGCAGTTTTTCTATCTTGAATAGGTTTTAGTACTTTTCCTTTTAGGAAAAAAAAATAGTAAAAAAATTTTATTACTTGGATTTAACCCAAATTAATTCAAAATGGTCCAATTTATGATTGTTCCTGAGAACTTGTGCTAGTTATTTGAATACTTCTTGAATATGATACTTATGAGCTCACATGACAACAAACAAGCCAATCTAAATACCAAGAACAACTGTCTCAGCTTGTCACTAAAAATTCTAATTGTATTACAGTAATATAAAAATTACATTATTCTGACTTCTTGAGGAAATTTAATACTCTAGTTAATTATTTACTTCAATTCCTGAAATTGCCAACAATGTTAATCAACTTGTTCTCAAATAATCAATTCTAGTTAGTTTCTAATGATTATACAAGGCAAATTGCAGAACTATATTACCTCATTCTCATTGTTTTCAAGAAATTTCTTGAAAACTTTTTTGATTCTTGAAAGTTTCCAATTCTTAAAAGTATTCAATTCTGTCCCTGGTTAATTCCAATATGTCTTCTTATCACATATCCTTCATTTCTCTAGAAAGGTTTGAAACCATTCTTGGAATATAGTTTGTCATGCTCTGCAATAACCATTATACCTGAAGACGATTTTACTTATTTATCTATAAGTGGAATTGCAATTTTCTGCTTTATTCAGATTAAATTATGTTCTTCCTACCTAAAAACTACTTGTTTCCAAGTAAGACAGATTTCCAGTTTATAGTAAAATTTAACAGAAAATTGCTTCGTTCTGAAGATTTTTTTCTGTTTAGACAGGTTTCCATTTTATTCAGGTTTTACTATATTGTTTAAATATTAAAATTGTATATTCAAACAAAAATGGTATTATATGTAAATATTTATTTGTTTTTTACATATTTGGATTACTTACAACTGAATCTATTTCATTATAGTTTTATTTAATGTAAGAGAAAAGAGGTACAAAATATATAATAATTTTGGATCTTCCTCTTCTACTAGAACCACTTTATTTATGAGTTAGCAATGTGGAATAGATTTTTCTTTCTATTCATCTATTCTGCATTGTATAATAATTTTGTGGTATCAGGCAGAATGATTCAGTTTTTTTTCATAATTTTAATAAAAATATAAGTTACATATGTATAATATAAAAATATAGTTTACATTATTATTTTTTAGTGTATTTTTATTAAAAAAATATAATTTCAAAACAAAATATAAACTAAAAAATAATAATGTAAACTATTTATATAATTTTAAACTAATTAGAAATCAATATACCTATGTTTTTATCAGTTTCTAGGAGAACTTCCAAGACTGGTACAACATCAAAATAAACAGCATAATGGAGAGCAGTCATATCAGTCCATCTACACTTCAGCCGTGTATCTGCTCCTTTATCTAACATCATCTTAACTGTTTCTGTTGCCATGTAAGCATCACCAACACCAATTGCTCCAGCTTTACAAGCATATTGCAAGATTGTCATGTCAGTTAAGCCATCTCTATCATCCACATGAGCACCACGTTTTAATATCTGTACAATAACAACAATTAGTAAATTGTAAAAAATGATTAAATTACTTATACTTTGTATTACTACTTGGAAAAAAAATAATCTAAAATATTTCATTACAAATTAATTGAAATTATAAAATTTCTACAATACTTACCTAATTTTTTAAAAATTTTACTAGCAAAAAGATATTCTAAAATTATTTTTTATTCAAGAGAAACAAATATATATACCTCATTTACAAGAACTTGAATATTTTGTTGGGTTTGTGGCATCCATTGTCGAATTATGGCAAATATCTGACTTATTGAAGTGTTCTGATTTTTAAGGATTTCCATACATCCTGGGCAACTAGGATCAAAAAAAGGCAATTCTAATTGTTCACAACTTGAACATAATGGAGCATCAGAAGTGGGATGAATGATTGGATAAGTCCTCTTTTCCTTTATGTTACAAATGGAATTGTCTTTTTCTCGATGTTTATTTAATGAAACAGTCATGATCTACAATTTTTAAAAAATTTGAAAAAATTAATAAATTATTAATGTTAAATATGAGTTATACAGAGCATTGAACAATTTATTAATTCTCATTTTTTCAATCTTCTGAACTTTTAAAAGTTTAAAAGCACATNTTTTTATTTATGTGAAAGCCCATATTTTACACTACTTTTCTACATAATTCCCATTAATATTGAGACACTTATCGTATCGTGGGACCAGCTTTTGTCCAGGAGATTGCATATTATTAAGATGTAAAAATTCCTCCTAGTGTGGATAAATGGGAAGCAGTTAGATAATGATGTCATTTCAGGATTATTTGTGAGAAAGCTAGGAAAACTGAATAGTGACCTTAAAAAAGGAGACATCACTCCACTCCTAAGGTAAACTACAGTAAATGCAATTTTAATTTAATATTTCCATATTTTATTTACTGTTTTCATGTTTTAATTTTATTATTTAGAGTATTTAATTGAGTTATTTTTATTTTAAATTATTTGTAGTTGTTTAAATTTATTGAAATTGGTATTGGTTATGGTCTGGGAATGGATTAATTCACTTCTATTATTTCTAATGGGATAAAATTAATTTTGACTTCAAATAATTCAGAGTTTGAATGATCTGCTAGAATGAATTAAATTCAAAGTACAAGGTACCACTATATATATGTATATACATATACACACATTATATTCTTTAGTAAGATTATCATCATTAACGATTATAACCAAATTAGTTATATCTTACCTTTGCTCCTCCTACTATAACTTTGTCACCAAGTTTCAGTCTTAAAGATTTTAAAACAGTTCTGCCAGTAATATTGCTATAATCTACTAAATCATATTCAGAATATTGAATTTTATTTTGAAGTAATTTTCTCAAATGACAAATAATATCTACGACATCAGACATACTCTCTACCTCAGAAATTTGTGGAATACAATCTGAAAAAGAATTTGCTTTAATCTAGTACCTATTAACTATTGAAATATTTTTAAAATGTTTAGTTACCATAAGGAGTTCTTTTAAAATCATCTTTTATATTTACATCAGCACCATATTTTATAAGGATTTTTGTAGCTTCGACACACAAATTATATGCTGCAATATGAAGCGATGTTCCACCATCAAATTCTTGGCATGGAATGTTGATATCTATTTTGAAAAATTAGTTATTAGAATATTAGATAAATAAATATTTTAAAATATTCTATTGTAAAGCCAAACCTATATATTATTTTTTACATATTATTAATTAAAGAAATATTTTATGCTTTCTACATGATACTTTGCAAAACAATATTTTTTAATGCTGAAACTGATAACATATTGTAACTTGTTACAACATGAGAGTTGCAATACTTGTGGATACTAACTTGTTAACTATAAAGATATAGTTTACTTTATACTGTATACTAAAAGATTTTTACTGTCTAATCACCAAATATTTCAGATTATGTAGGAAATTTTATATCAATAATTCTGATAAATAAAACCTGTATATTTTTATTGGATTATATATGACCAAAATATATAATAAATAAAAATAAAAACATGTTAACAGTATATTTCCAATACTGATGTGATGTTTGTCATGGAGGACTTCTTTCTTTTGTATAGTCCTGTGATGAGAGATTGGTTAATACTAACTGTCCCCATTTTAGGGGAGATAGGGTGATATGATAGAATAGTTCTTTGAGTATAAACTTTAACTTTTTCTGTTCTTAAATACTGAAATTCATCAAAAAAATGAAAATTTAAAATATAAGTTAAGAAAAAACATTAAGAAAGTTTTATAATACAGAAAAGTATTTAATTTTCTATTATGATTTTTATGTTAAATAAAATATTTTTTTCAGAAATCTTGATTAATTAATCTAAATCTATTCTAGATATGACTCAACAATCATCATCTTCATTTTATTTCATTTTATTGTAATGAATTTATACTAATAAAATTTATTCACAGGTAATTAAAGTGTTGATTTTTGATAAACATTATATTTGAAATTGACTGTTGAAAATCAATTATTCCATGCACAGATGTTTATTTCATTTATATCCCTATGGATACATCATAATTTGAGATTGTGGAGAATCAAAAATATCATTAAACTACATCCATCAACTACTCATGACTAGTGTTCATCACACAACAATATATATAATTGGTGGTAATTTGATTAAGCAGAAAGAATTTCACAAATTTATTCTTTCTGCTTACTCTTTCAACCTTTGTTTTAGATACTCTTTCATAAATGCCAACTTCAATATTTTATGGCATCTCATCTTTGTTACTCCTGAACAAATTGAAAGAGAAAAGATGTAAAACTTGGCATTGTCATTATAAATAAATAAATAAATTATTATTATTTATTTAAAAATTTAAAAAATTTAATGATACAAATAATTTTTGACTATATTTAGATCATCTCTAAACATTCGTGTAAAACTGTTCAGAATGACATTTAGAATGTAAACATAGAAATTATATGCAAATATAGAACAAATAATGCTTTAAATTCTATATATTTTAAAAAAAATATTCTAAATACAAATTTTAAATATGAAAATTTGTTTTCTGTAAAATTTTTAACTGGTTGTTACATAACGATGTTCTAAATGAGATTATATTTTTTAAAAATATGCTTATGTCATAATTTATTATCTTTCATAGAATATTTGCTTGGAAACATCTTTTGTGAAGTGAAAAATCATTATGATTTTAAATCTTCTATTTTTAAAATATTTCCTTTCATTTCAATTTAATAGTAAACAATAGCAAGTCCAACCATTTCTATCAGAAATTCTTCTATATTTCAGTTTGATTTTTCTTAATTTCATTTAACAGTTTCACTATTATTTACAAATATTTGCTTTTCTTAATGTGTTCTGCTGTCCTTTGTTATTTTCATTCATTATCTTGCCTAACAGTTCAAAAAAATATAATTGTAGTAACATTCTATTATTAAATTTCCTGAACTGAGAAAGCTAAGAAGTGATCTTATTTATTTAAATTAAATAAGATCACTTCTCTTTCAGTCACTTTGATAAATGTTAGAGCAATCTCAGTCAGCTCTCCAGTGAATGGTGAACTAGTCAGCAGCATGCTGATTGGTTTGCCATTTTTCTAGTTTTAAAATATTCAATTTGTTAAGTTTTAATTTAGTACAGAATGAAGAATGAAGTTAGTAAAGAGGTGTTTATGTAGCAGAAATCTTATGATGAAAAATTATTATTATGAAAGAATATAGAAAAAGAACAAAGTGGAAGTGAAGACAAGAATTACAAAGAATTAAAATAAAATAAAGTTGATGTATAGAAACAAACAAATACAAAAAGCTTTGACAGAGACAGATGTGCAGTACAATATACAGATTAATAAGAAAAAATAAAAATTAGTTNAAGTTTTTGCATATTTAGGTAGACAAAAGTCTCAAGTTAAAGGTCCACTCTGCCAAAAGACTTGTATTCCTAAAGGTGTGAAAAAGGCAAAGTGAAAGACACTTAACTAATGGGTCCATCAGTGGCCAAGTGGTCTTCGTTCCCTGAACTCTGGAAGTTCGGTTGTGGATTTGTGCCTTGCTTGGATGGGCTGGCCACATTGAGTTTTCTGGTTTTCTCCACATCTGTAACATCTAAATAGGGACCAGTTTCCCTTAAAAAGACCTCCTGGGAGGCATTCCCCCTAGGCAGATAACTCAAGTGTTGCATTGCCATATGTGAACCGCCAGGGAGGGTGTAGGTCTCCCGATCCGGCAACAGGTTGATGAACCTTCTCACTGGTCAGGATGGATTAAAATTTTACTTTTCCCGCGGTAATGGGATTAAATGTTTCGGGTCGAGTGGCGGAGGGAGGAGTGCGTCGGTAAGATGACCGGCGATATACGAGTAAAGATGACACCACTTTAACAGGATAACAACGATTTATTAGCTACATAGAGATTACAATAACCAATTTCAAAAGGGAAAATCTGAGTCCCTGAAACGCGAAGAACCGAGAGAGAGTTCACAAAAATAAGGATCTACAATTTTTAAAAAATTTGAAAAAATTAATAAATTATTAATGTTAAATATGAGTTATACAGAGCATTGAACAATTTATTAATTCTCATTTTTTCAATCTTCTGAACTTTTAAAAGTTTAAAAGCACATTCTAACCAATACCTATAAACTGAAATAAATATCAATTAACTAGTTAAGTATTTTATTTACGTAAAGAAAAATAAAAATAAACACTTGAATTAATCTAAAAAAATTGTTTATTATATTTCAACAGAAATTTTAGTGAAAAGTTAATCAAATTTTATTACAAAAATATAAAAATTTCAGCAAGAACTGTAAGAAAAACTATAAATGTAGTATAATTTCAAATAAGTTGTTAATGTAATTCTTAAATATCATCAATCAAAATCAAAAATTTAGTCTTTTTCTTGATAAAAAAAAAGTTCAAATAATTATAATTAAATTTAACTTTTTACCACTACTTTTTCAGTGTTTCTTCTATTTTTATGAACTTTATAATTAAAGTTCATAAAAATAGAAGAAACACTGAAAAAACAGTGGTAAAAGGAGGGGTAAAAAGTGTTCTCTAGTCTTTTTCAAGTCTCAGGAATATAACAAAGTCATCTTATATAATTTTATCAATATATTTTCATTGAGTCTTGCTAAAAGAAAATTTTTTCAACAAGTTTTTGCATATTTAGGTAGACAAAAGTCTCAAGTTAAAGGTCCACTCTGCCAAAAGACTTGTATTCCTAAAGGTGTGAAAAAGGCAAAGTGAAAGACACTTAACTAATGGGTCCATCAGTGGCCAAGTGGTCTTCGTTCCCTGAACTCTGGAAGTTCGGTTGTGGATTTGTGCCTTGCTTGGATGGGCTGGCCACATTGAGTTTTCTGGTTTTCTCCACATCTGTAACATCTAAATAGGGACCAGTTTCCCTTAAAAAGACCTCCTGGGAGGCATTCCCCCTAGGCAGATAACTCAAGTGTTGCATTGCCATATGTGAACCGCCAGGGAGGGTGTAGGTCTCCCGATCCGGCAACAGGTTGATGAACCTTCTCACTGGTCAGGATGGATTAAAATTTTACTTTTCCCGCGGTAATGGGATTAAATGTTTCGGGTCGAGTGGCGGAGGGAGGAGTGCGTCGGTAAGATGACCGGCGATATACGAGTAAAGATGACACCACTTTAACAGGATAACAACGATTTATTAGCTACATAGAGATTACAATAACCAATTTCAAAAGGGAAAATCTGAGTCCCTGAAACGCGAAGAACCGAGAGAGAGTTCACAAAAATAAGTTCCATACCTCTTTATGTCTTTTAATATTCTTAAGGAAAAAGGTTTTGATATCCAACGGGTTGGTAGGATTAGGATAATAATTTTTCTTCAGGACACAATATCGTATAGGACACAGTATATTAATAGGACACAATATTCTTAGGACACAGTTGTAAAAGTGACGGCGAATGAACGACTCCCCCGAGAAGGGGAAGGAAGGGGTTTTTATAAGTTCGGCGTGGGAGAATGGTCATGTGACCAATTGTTGTGAGGTAAAAGGTATGCAGATGGGTCAGAGTTGTTCCCGGGCCCATGTTAACTATAAACTTTAGCGTTGGAATGTGGGATTAGTTTCGAATTGAACGGATGTTTATGTCGAACATAAACGAAAAGTTTTTTTTCCCGTTAGGTTCCACTTTAAGTTAAAGGAAAATTTAATTAGATTTTAAGCAAATACAGGACAATTGATCGACAAATAGTCGACAAAAATTCCGGATTTCACACATAACTAAACAAACAAACAAACTTAACTAATGATGAGATAATTAATCAGGATGGGAAAAATCAGGTATTTTCCGGCAATCAGAATCAAGCAATCTTGTCATTATTCCGATCTTTAAAATGATTTTTCCACATTTAATAAGAAAATTAATTATTTGTTTCAGTTGAAGATTAATTTTTTTTAATTACAATATTAACAATTAAGTATTAGTTTATTGGAAATTTTTATGTTGACATAGAGAATACTCAATATCCAATACTGATGTGATGTTTGTCATGGAGGACTTCTTTCTTTTGTATAGTCCTGTGATGAGAGATTGGTTAATACTAACTGTCCCCATTTTAGGGGAGATAGGGTGATATGATAGA